CCTCACCGGTGTCATGTTACTCGTTAGTGTTACAAGGTCTCAGATGTGATTGGGGAGCAGGTGGTTAAAATTGGGTGTTATTGCTCTCACACTCTGTCATACTAGTCACTGGAAGTTCAACATGGCAACTCATGGCAAAGAACTCTCTAAGGATCTGAAAAAGAAAGTATTGTTGATCTACATAAAGATGGCCTAAGCTATAAGAAGATTGCCAAGATCCGGAAACTGATCTGCCGCACGGTGTCATGGTTTGGGCCTGCATGAGTGCTGCCGGCACTAGGGAGTTACAGTTCATTGAGGGAACCATGAATGCCAACATGTACTGTGACATACTGAAGCAGACCATGTCCCCTCTCTTGAGGGACTGGCCCACATGGAAGTATTCCAACATGATAACGATCCCAAACACACCTCCAAGATGACCACTGCCTTGCTAAAGAAGCTGAAGGTAAAGGTGATGGACTGACCATGGTAAAGGTGATGGACTGAGAAACTGTGGGGCATCCTCAAATGGAAGGTGGGGGAGCACAAGGTCTCTAACATCCACCAGCTCCGTGATGTTGTCATGGAGGAGTTGAAGAGAACTCCATTGGCAACCTGTGAAGCTCTGGTGAACTCCATGCCCATGAGGGTTAAGGCAGTGCTGGGAAATAATGGTGGCCACACAAAATATTGGCACTTTGGGCCCAATTTGGACATTTCTACTTAGGGGTGTACTCACTTTTGTTGCCAACGGTTTAGACATTAATGGCTGTGTTTTGAGTTATTTGAGGAGACAGCAAATTTACACTGTTATACAGGCTGTACACTTACTACTTTATTTTGTAGCAGAGTGCCATTTATTCAGTGTTGTCACATGAAAAGATATAATAAAATATTTACAAAAATGTGACGGTTGTACTCTTGAGAGATACTGTTTATGATTGACCATATATTTGTATTAAAACTAAACATTGGACTCATTAATCTGCTCTACGTGATAGAGGAAACACCACATATTTATTTAGAGCATAATTATTAAAGTTTCACACATAAATAAACACAACATCCCATAATTGCATATCAGCCTTAGTCAGCATAAGCGGATTATAAGTAAAACATAATAGTATAACAGGGTAGGGTTTTTATGTAGTTAGCTAATTTTGTCAGTAGATGGCAGTGTACATGCATATTGTTGGCAAAGAAATTGAGAGGCTGATTTAGCCGAATGAACAGATGCAACTGTAGAATTGGAGGATCAGAGTAGCAGTATGAGCTTTCTCATGTACGAATTTACTGAGTGGTAAGTATGTAAAGTTGATTCGTATGAATGAAATCGGACGTGAGATGATTACAACGTTCATACATAGAGTTTGTTTGTTTATATGTGAATTACCTATTAATGTGTATTATGCTGTTCATGCATATGGGAACACCACTTGGGAATTTAGCGCATTTGTGTGTACTCACTGCTCCCGAGGTGCTTGAGACTTGACCCAGAAGTTCAGGTATGTGCCCCGGAAGCTTTGTGATCCTGGAAGCATCATGTGTATGGCTGTAGCTTGGGTCGGTGATCTGCACTGTATGGGCCCTAGGAGTGAAACACAAGGAATTCTTCTGGCGAACTCAGAACTGGAAGGCACCAAGGGGTATATATATATGAGTGCAGCTCCACAAAGGCATTTGCTTTATCCATTACTGCTTGTACCTGGATTGTGAAAAGCTGTAGGTAGACCTCCCCCCACAAAGCACTGAGTGCAGCTCCACAAAGGTCTGCACTGAGTGCTTTGTAGAGGGAGGTTTATCTACAGCTTTTCACAATCTAGGTACAAGCAGTAATTGATAAAGCACACTGCATACTGCATTTTATCTGAGGCACCCGGGAGGTCCATACCATCCTATATCCTTAGACGGGGATTGTTTAGTCCATGCATGTAGCGGATGGCACTGGGCTGTCCTGAGAAATTACATGTATTTGAATGCATTCGTGTAAAGTAACTAAGTTCTATGTGTTAAATATATTGTATTTGTCTGAATGTTAGGTAGTTTCATTCCCTTAGTTTGTTTGAATGAAACTACCGAACAGTCAGACCTCCCCTGTGTGAAGTGTGCCTTCAATTACCCGTTGCAACATTGTTGCGAACGGGTAATTGACAAGCTGAGTAGCCGTCCTTTGTTCTCGGGTGTGGCCGCCATTCGAAAAACGAACACGTGGCGGTGGCCATTTTAAAACTCCCGAACAGCGGTGTTTTGCCGTCGAGTGTCTGGAACTCAAATTGGAAACCTCCACAAGCCCGGTCCGTTCGGTTCCAAACTAACGAAAGGCCCCTCGCTCGGCAGATAGAAAGAACCGAACGAGGGGATTCAGGCGAACCTTCCCTAGTCTCTGTAGCTAGAGGCTTTCATGCCATTTATTCCCTGACTCCAGGACTGACCGCAGGGCCCATTCGCATGGAACCTCATTCGGCTGTTCTATCCAGTGCGGTCGGTCATTTTATTCCCTCCATGAATTTCCCGAACCTCTGGTCTGATATGGGTGATTTTTGGATATGTTGTTCACCCAGATCAGGGCTACCAGGGGATGTATAATTTAAAGTGGTACCCCTAAGTTTAGGGGTACATCCAGAAACGGGGGGAATTGGTGTGCTGGATAAGGGGATTATGATGCAGGCTGAGGGGAGGAGATGTGTGGGAGGTTACCAGAGCAGGATTGGCTACTGTACTAATGAAGGAAAATCCCTCCCTTGCATGGGAGCAGGCTTTAAAAGGCCACTGTCTGAATAAATCTTTAGTTCTGCTCCTGAAACTGTGTGTCGTCCAGTTATTGGGATTGCTGTTGGGATACTGCTGTGTTATTTTGCCTGCTGGATACTTTACCCTATGGATTTATAATTGCTTGTTCCTGAACCTCCCTGGGATCCAAAGTGGAGATAGGCTGTGTAATACCTCCGCTACAATGCATAATTCAGCTGAGCTCTTAGTTAGCTCAAGAATGTGTGAGTGAAAATTACACAAGATCATTCACTACTTATTCACCGTACATTATTACTTTTTGGGTTTTTTAAGCTATTGTTTTCAAATCAAGTATTCTGACATTAAGTTTTGCTATTCAGTAAATAACGCTGTAAGGAATTAACTACAAATTATAGCAAATTCCAATCTAAATCCCCAAAATGAGGCTTACAATGCGTTTAACTTTTGCATTCCGGTTAATGTTACAACCTATTAAAGTGCACAGAGATTATTATAATATTATCATTATTTTATTATTTATATAGTGCCAGCATATTCTGTAGTGCTGTACAATCATGATTTATATATTGTATGTTTTATATTAGTGGAATATTTTCTTTACCAAAAATATAAGGGCAAAAAATGTGATTCATTTTTTATTACATGTACTGTTTTGTTTTTTAGATTTTTTTACAAACATATTATTTGATTTTTATTTATATGATATGACAATAACTAATCAGTTATCACTGTGTTTACATTAATATCCTGTATCCAGTATAGCCCCCATCTCTGCTCCCATCCAGTCTGCCATACTGCATATTACATGGAAGCCAGGAATATCTGCCTATGGGTAGAACTTTGTAAAATGACTCCTTTGAGTTGTACTGTTGAGAGTTGGGATCCATACCTTTCATTTTTCAAAGGTCTCAATAAAGTATACTTTACTGCACACGTGGCATTAGGTAAATGCAGAATTAAATGTATAATATCCTTTAATGTTATAGATTGTGCCTGTGTAAAATCCTAGATCCTTTGCTGTTCAAATTCAGATTTACACAGTTTAGTCGAGCTAATCAAGTCTGTTCAAAAAAGGAACAGATGTTATTGTATTTGGTTTCAAATCAGCACTACCTGGTTTCTAATTGCAGAATCTTTGTCAAACAGCATAAAAGGTAAATTCAGAAATGGAGAACATTACTTAGAGATAGAACCAATGTTTCCTAAAAAAATTTACGAAAAATTTAACATGAGACTAATAGTGAGAATTTTTCATCTTTTATTTGTATTCTGTTTTTCATACAGTTTAGATGTTAGAATTTCCTATCTGTTACAATTTTTAACATTGATTTTCTGATAAACTACTTTATTGAAAAGTATTGAAAATGTTATTAGTTAAAATAATTTTTTAAAATGTAACATTTTAGGAGAGACTTTGAAACAAGAAAACGTTCTTCATATTAATTTTCTTTACAAATAAATCTATTAAATAAATCCATTGCTTTCTCAGTTACGATGTCTAAGAAATTAAACTAATTATCTAAATAATGATAACTGTGATTATATTTTAGATAAGTTTAAGGAGTTCCACAACACCAAGATGTCATCAATTTCTGAGTGTCAATTGGCCAGTGACTTCAGTTATCCTGGATAATGGATCGTGTGTTATGTAATGATTATATATTAGTCATCACAGGTGTGCTTGTCAAACATGATGGTGTCCAATAGAAATGTGAGAAAGGAGTCCTAAGTCTTATGATCTACAGACCAAGAAAGAAATATACATGGGTTATCTGCTGCTTTACTTCTGCTAGAAAATAGGCCCGCTCCATAGAAAGAAATTATAATTTATGCAACTGGGCCATAATTTGATGGGCATAAATAAAGTCCTCCTCAAAACAAGCCATAAAGAGGTTGGTATACGATGGGGAAACATATATTAAAAGAGGTTGGTATACGATCAGAGTGAGGGAAGGAAGGGGTGACTAGTGACAGAGTGAGGGAGGTGGTGACTGTCACTATTCACTAGTCACCTCCTCACTCTGTAATTAGTCACCACCTCCCTCTGTCACTACTCCCTCCCTCCTTCTGTCACTAGTCACCCCCTCCGTCCCTTACTCTGTCACTAGTCACCCCCTCCCTCTGTCACCTGTCATGCCCTCACTCTGTCACTAGTCACCCCCTCACTCTAGTGACAGAGTGAGGGAGGGTGGGAGGGTGGGACTAGTGACAGAGAGAGGGAGGGGGTGTCTAGTGACAGTAAGGAAGGGGATGACTAGTGACAGAGTGAGAGAGGGGGTGACTAGTGACAGAGTGAGGGAGGGAGTGGGTGACTAGTGACAGAGTGAGAAAGGGCGTGACACAATGACAGAGTGAGGGAGGGGGTGACTAGTGACAGAGCGAAGGAGGTGGTGACTGTCACTAGTCACCCCCTCCCTCACTCTGTCACTAGTCACCCCCTCCCTCTCTCTGTCACTAGTCACACTCTCCCTCACTCTGTCACTAGTCACCCCCTCCCTCTCTCTGTCACTAGTCACACCGTCCCTCACTCTGTCACTAGAGTGAAGGGGTGACAGAGTGAGGGAAGGGATGACTAGTGGCAGAGTGAGGGAGGTGGTGACTGTCACTAGTCTCCACCTCCCTCACTCTGGCCCTAGTCTCTCCTTCCTCTGTCACTAGTCACCCCCTTCCTCACTGTTACTAGTCACATCCTCCCTTTCTGTGTCACTAGTCAAACCCTCCCTCACCCTTTTACTAGAGTGAGGGGGTGACAGCTGACATAGTGAGGGAAGGGGTGAATAGTGGCAGAGTGAGGGAAGGAAGGGGTGACTAGTGACAGAGTGAAGGAGGTGGTGACTGTCACTAGTCACCCCATCCCTCCCTCTGTCACTAATCACTACCTCCCTCACTCTGTCACTAGTCACCCCATCCCTCCCTCTGTCACTAATCACCACCACCCTCTCTCTGTCACTAGTCAACCCCTCCCTCTCTCTGTCATTAGTCACACCCTCCCTCACTCTGTCACTAGTCACCCCCTTCCTCACTGTCACTAGTCACCCTCTCCCTCTCTCGGTCACTAGTCACACCCTCCCTCACTCTGTCACTAGAGTGAGGTGGTGACTAGTGACAGAGTGAGGGGGTGACAGAGTGAGGGAAGGGGTGACTAGTGGCAGAGTGAGGGAAGGAAGGGGTGACTAGTGACAGAGTGAGGGGAGGACTGGTGACAGAGTGAGGGAAGGGGTGACTAGTGGTAGAGTGAGGGAAGGACGGGGTGACTAGTGACAGAGTGAGGGAGGTGGTGACTGTCACTAGTCACTAGTCACCACCTCCCTCACTCTGTTCCTAGTTACCCCTCCCTCTATCACTAGTCACCCCCTTCCTCACTCTGTCACTAGTCACCCCTTCCCTCCCTAACTCTGTCACTATTCACCACTTCACTCCCTCACTCTGTCACTAGTCATCCCCTCCCTCACTCTGTCACCAGTCACCCCCTCCCTCTGTCACTAGTCACCCTCTCCCTCACTCTGTCACTAGAGTGAGTGGTTGACTAGTGGTACTGGTAGGTACCTATGGAGCGGAATTAAACATGCTGGACATGCACAGCTGCTAGTAAGTAGAAGTGAGTAGGGCCATGGTGGTAATCTCCAGGATGGTTAGATAAACGCGGGGATTAGCAGATAAGGCCAGAGCAGCAACGCAAGTCTCCTTCCCCTACACATCAAGCCTTCACCCGATACCCATAGTGGCTATGAGAGTCTCATAATGAGCACTCCAAAGCTGGTCCCATGCCTCAACAAGTGCCCTTGTACAGTTCTCACTGCTCAGTTCACTCTTTGCACCACAAGCGCGGCCTTGAAATCGATGTTGCTCCCTCCAAGGGTGTGGGAAGGGCGTCGGGGTTATCTCCCTCCGGGCCCCCAGCTTAGGAAGGTAGTAGCAAGTGTTGGACAATTTGGGAAGTGCGTGATCAAGCTTGAGATTGGGCTTTCTTCCCCTTTTGCCTCTTACATCAGGAGATTTTTGTGGCTTCTGTTTAGTGCCAACCCTTGGGCATTCAATGTTAGGAGGCAAGCTCAGCAGCATGAAACCACTTTGCGGCTTCTCCACCCCCTGGCGGGGTTGTTGTGCCCTTATATCTTTGCAGGGATACGGGTTCGGCTCTGAATGCGAGCCCAAAGCTCCTGGCATATCTGATCAAAACAAGCATTGATGCATGTCTGCAAGCACTGGCTCACCCAGCCTTTAGAAGACAGTGTAGCCCAAGGCACAGCAGCCATGATAGGTTTGCCACTCGGTGTGTTCAAATTGATGGGAGACTCCGTTTGTGCATGGAGGGTAGTTCCCTCAATGGGGACTGGGATATCCCTCTCTGGTCCATCCCCCACTTGGCAGAGCCTTTATAATCAGGTGTGCTTGAGGTGTTCCCCCTCACAGTGCCCCTTTGCTGCTCATTTAAGTCTGTGCTCTCTGTGATATTGGGCATTAATAGCCTAAATTTAGTTTGGTGAGGCAGGAGCTGATATGAAACATGTCTGGCCATCTTGGCTGTCAGGCCGCGCCCCCCAGCTTATTTACATTTCTGCAGTGTTTGTGTTTAGCTGTAATTTACTTACTTACTTACTCATTTACTGTACCCACACATATTGTATACCGTTTTTCTCGCCATTAAATAGTCTTTCTAAAGATACCATTATTTTCATTATATCATATAATTTACTATAAAAGCAATTATAAAATATGTTAAAAAAAAAAAACTTTTCTAACTTTGATCCCCAAAATCACAACCGCCAAAAAACACCTGTGCTAAATAGTTTCTAAATGTTGACCTGAGTTTAGAAATACCCAATGTTAACATGTTCTTAGCTTTTTTGTTTGCATGTTATAGGGCAATAAGTACAAGTAGCACTTTGCTATTTCCAAACAATTCTCTCTGTCAGGAATCCCTGAATAACCCTTCACATGTTTATATTTTTAA